ATACATCATTATAATTTGATACTGGGGGAAGGAAAATACGATTGCAAAAACATCCAAACTATTTCCAACGTATAAGGCCGGATTGCCTCCGACAGGGCTGTTAGCCTTCCTGTTTGCATACAAAACAGAAGAGACTCGGACTGCGCTAACCTGTCTCCCCGTGACCCCTTAATCTGCGCCCCCAGTCAAAAGAAGCCCTTCCCTCCTCGCCCGTGCCTCAATAGTCACCTTCCCTCCTCGCCTTTTTCTCAGCAACAAAAGGAGCTTTTATCCCAGAGCCATGCAATCACTCCCCCCCCCCCCCCCCCCCACAAACACACACACAGTACAGTGAAAATTTGATTTAAATTACCGACATTGTACTTTACCATGTACGTGTATGTAGCTCTAAAAGTCTCCCATATATATATGATGTGTTTCGTTTAGTTTAAAGTAAGTCTTGCAGCGTTTGCAACTGAATACAGTCATAAAAAAATGCCAAAGAAAAGAGGAGTTTCGTAATGTACAAAGAAAAGAAGGAGGTGAGATATGGACGACAGATGCTTGATAGGAAAAAAAGAGCAAACCACAGAAGAGCATCCACCAACCACATAGCCCTTTATGACTCGAGAGAAACTTATTATTTTTTTAATGTCCTTAATATTTTTAGTTTTTGTTTGAGTTTTTTTTTTTATATTTAAAACATAATCACAATCAATAACAGACATTTTGTGCTGGGGAAAAGTAAACCAGACAGACAGAAATAACTAAGGAAAAGAAAATACAGTATTATTAAGTTTCAAATTTGTGCACCCAAATGTCAGAACCTATTCAGAAAATAACAACTGAGCATTAAAAGGATCTTAGTTTACAAGTTTAAAAAGGCAAAATAATATGTCATGTTCATTTCCATAGAGCTTTTCCGAGATGAAAGCTTTATGTTTTTATTATTTGTTTGTTCGGTCGAGGGAAGAGAACCACATCCAAACAAAAACAGTCATTTTGATGCCGGGAAAAAAAGATGATAAACAGACAGAAACAACAAAGGAAAAGAAGTCGGGACTAACCATTGGCACCCTACAACCACCCCCTCTATAGAATAATGACAGAGCTGATTTAGAGTTATAAAGAGTTTATAAGACATTAAAATTATCACGCTGTATCTCCTGACATAATGCCATGACAGCATTTCACACAATAAAAGAGGAAGATCAGGTAACAGGAAATTAATATTTCTTTTATAAACTAAAGGGTAATATTAGTGTATCAAAAACTCAAACTTATTGATCAAGTTGAAACAAAACCAACCATGGAGTAATGATTATGTAGTTTGTAGAGAAACAATCTTCCAAAACCGCACAGCAAGGAACAGTGCAACATAAATTTCTGCTCCCACTCAGTCTACACACCGATCAACAGAAAAGAGACATCATTTTTTTAACAAAGAAAAAAAAAAGAAAGACCAAAGAGAAACCAAGAGATGGAAAAACCTCAGCAGACTGTATTCCAATCACAGATGTTGTCAAAAATACTTTAAATACTTTGCTTTACATTTAAATTTAAAACCAAACTTCCCTCTCAAATGTTAATCAAACTCAAGCTAAACATTAAAATAGATGGGGGAAACATCTACATATATAGTTTGGCTACATACATAGACAACAGTGTAGACACTTTCGGAGAAAGACGTTTGCTACATGGCTACAGTGCAAAGACTTTCTGAGAGACCGCTACACAGAAGAGACTTTCTGAAAGACTTTGGCTAACTAGCTACAGAGCAGAGACGAGAGATACAACTTTACACAACAACAGATAAACAAATGACAGACAGTGAGATGGGGATATAAAAATGCCCTGCCTCTCCCCAACCATAAAACTATTATCAAAGCTACGGAAACCACTTAATTTGTATTTTTGTATTGCCGCTGGATTGGAAAAGTAAAGTATTTTTGTATCTAGAATCTAGTTATTCTAGTACACTAAACATTACAAAAAAAATTTTTATGGTACAAGTGTAAAACTTGTATTATGAAACATAACATGATGAACTATTTCAAACAAGAGAGGGCACTAAAAATTAAAAGTCAAATATTTACAAATTTATATCTGTCGAAAGAGCAAAAAATAAGTTTACCCAAATTATTAAACATATGTTTTACTTATATTCAGACCTATACAAGACTCCTTTATGAGAATTAAAAAATAGTTACTGAAAATTCATTTTATAAAAGACTTACTCTTGGTTCTTGTGTACCCAAGATTTTAGAAAAATGATGACATCACCGAAAGTAAATATGAAAATAATCATGACACATCGTGGGAAAAAAATCCAAGACTTTTTTATAATTCGAAAAAAATCCAAGATAAGACCTGACCTAGCACAGGGTAATAATAAACACTCTAATGAAAAATAGCTCCCACTAATAAAGCACAAAGGAATCCCATATGTGCACTGACAACACATGTGGACGAAGACAAAGCCTGCTCCAAAACACTTGCCATTTTTTACACTATTATTGCCACTCCGCTATTCAAGGAAACAATTGGTACCCTCAACGAGAGAGAATGCCGTAAATAGGGATTTTATGTAGCTATAGCCGGTTTCTCCCTATCTATCAACATGACATGATTTTTCAACCCACCATACAGATGGTTCCACAGTACAAAAAACTAAAAAATAGCATTCAAGATATACATCATGTGTACATTATTATGTAGCCTGTATGAAAATAGAAAATGAAGCAACTTGGTAGGTGTGTCAATCATTATTAAGTGCGCTTTTTAATTCATCAATTACTGATTGTGTTAATTTGTCCTTTTGTTGTTGACTTCATTACCATGATTTGTTTGGTGATATGAGGAGGAAATTCCTTGAAAAGACACCAAAAAAGGTATCACTTTCTCCTTTTCACAAAAAAAACTTAATAAACACTTAGCCACAGGTGCATAGTATGGACGGAAAAGTGATATTATTTCTCTTGATTCATTTATTTTATTTACCACGTTTCTACCCTGCACCAATCCTAGCAACTGTTACAACGGGATTTGACCCCATCACTAAAATTGCAAACCCTTTATTATTTTTAAAAAATGAAAATTTAAAAAATATAGGAAAAGAGTGAACTGTTCTAGATTTTTCTAAATTAAACAAATAAATTAACATTAAACACTAGCCTAATCCGCTCACAAGCACAGAGCAGGAATGTTCACATCATCATCAACAGAATAAAATTCAGGAACGACAAAAAAAATATTTTTATCTTGTCACAACCCCACTGAAAATGCAATCAAAAATGTCACTCCAGTTGCAGCCAAACTACGAAATGACGACAGTCTTTGTAGAAGCAGAAAAGACACAGAAATTAGACCAACATAAAAGCAGTTTCAAAATTGTTTGAAGAAAAAATGATCGCCAACGTCATTTAATTTAGAGAGACAGCTTTTTCAGAATTGGGAAGGGAATACGATCAGTTTATTTTCCTACACTGTAACAACAATATTTCAGACACCAAATTTTAAAAATGCTGTATTAGGTAGGCTAAATTCAACAGTCTTACGAAATATTTGAATTTGACTGTACGGTACAGGGATCAGCAAACTGTTTTCTCAGGGTTTTTTAAAACACTTGAACTTTTCCTTTCAGAGAGACTAAACTGCGTGTCTGTATGAGCTAGCCTGAAGTCTATTTAAAGCCTAGCACTAACCCAAAGAAATTTTTTTTAACGCAAATTCTAGGATTTCCATAAACTTAACTGTCAGCAATTTTTTCACCCCTCAAAAATAAAGAAGTCACAGAAAAAAATCCTAGAAACAGGAACGCAAACCTTATGCAACAGAGACAGTAAGTCTGGATTTTGTTCACCAAACTAGATCTAACTAAAATTGGCCAAACACGATGAGTGAGTAATTGGCCAGTCTGCTGGGTTGGCAAAGAAACAAAGGCAAGAATAGAGAAAAAGTTGTTCCATCAAAAAGGCCCCAAACTGATGTCACAAACTTAACTGAGAAATAAACTCTTCATAATTCTACAACAACCCCCCC